TAAATATTCGAAAAACAGAAACAACAGTTTTACATCGAAATGTGTGAAGTGTGAAGTGTGAAATGTGAAATGTGAAATGTGAAATGTGAAATGTGAAATGCAATCTAGTAATGAGCCTATGGCTAGGGAGACCAAACAATTACTCCCCACGTGATTGGTTCAAAACATATTTATAACATTAACACCTGCATCGATGAATTACTGCAGTTTCATTTATATTCATAAACTTTATAAAAAAGTTGATTAAAGGTTAGGCTGTCTTCAGCCATCTGGTCAGATATATCCTCCGAATCTCCCAAGGAAAGTTGATAGTTTTCTAGCCTTGTTTTTGATTTGAACTATTTGAGCATGCTAAAAATGCCTTACAGTGCAGTGGAAATTCATTCGAGTGTTCAATCTTTCTCAAGGAATCTCCTTGAAAGCTCTGGATGGGATTTTACATCTTACTTTTCTTTCGGTCTGTTCGGCTTAACTCTTTTAGTAGGAGTTAGTTTGAACATCTTGTACTTATGGTGGTCGAGATATCGCGCCAGTTCTAAGGGCTGTAACCGTGGCAATGCATTTCTGCAAAGCATTGCCATTGCTAATCTCATTCTGTTGGTGGCTTTGCCACTGGATTCAGGAAACCTAATCTATGGATCATGGGTTTTCAACAAAGAGTGGTGTAGGTAAGTGAACAACTTATATTTTTCATGTTATTTTATTTCAATTTTTATTATTTTTGATGCTTTCTCTTTAAATTTCTTTTGATTTTTTTTAATGAGGACGACCTTCAGTTAGAATAGGACAGCAGATATTTTCTTTCGGTATTCTGTATTCATTATTTTCGATTTCTTTTTTTTATTTCACCATATCTATATATCAAAAACATTTGAAATTTAATACAAAATGAAAATCAATGAGTGGATACTTCAGACTCAGACTCAGACACATTCAAAAAACGTTTATCATGACCTTTCGAGCTTTTCAGGCTGACCATTTATTCAGTAAATAAATTCATCGGCTGATTATTGATCGGCTCTGGCACCGAACGATAAACAAAGGACGACTACAAAATGATTTGAATAAAGCAATACAGATTAATTAATGCAAGAAGACCGCATCCATCCATTGGTCCATTTCTTTTTGTAGAACACTATTTGGTAAGGTCTTTGAACATGGCGCTTTATGAATAAATAAATAAATAAATAAATAAATAAATAAATAAATAAATAAATAAATA